TGAAAAAATTAATTGAACATACTATACATTGGTTATATCATCACGATCAGATAAAAAAATAGTCGAGTGTGACTCTGACAGTAATATAGGATTGGGTGAGAATGTACATCGTGGGCACAAATATTGGTTCCAACTTCGGTAATAACATATATTACAGTTTATGAAGCATTCGGAGAAAAGAAGCACACTTACAGATTCGATTTTATTATAGCAGAACAGTAGCAGCACGTTTTGATTCGGCCATATATAATACCAAACCTAGCGTATTTTTATTTCATGAACAGTGTAGACGTAACATATTTAAAAAGGGGTTTGGTATTTCAACTAAACTCACCTAATAATGGAATGATCATCTCCATTACGAAATAGCTCTCTAGCGACATCTTCCGTCCTCAAGTACTGGAATGGGTGAGAAGGTACGTCGTGGGCACAAACAATTGTTCTAACTTCGGTAATTATAGTATGGGTGTTTTCCCAAAGCTTCGATTTCCTTGTTTATGCCGTCACATAGACCAATAAGCAATAATCAACAATGGCGAACAATCAGTGCGATAGCTCAGACAGACATTCGAGCATGGTTGTAATGTAAACATTACCTCGTTTTTTAGTGTTGAGTTACCATCAGTTTTCTGTTATGTTTCCAAAAAATAGTAAATCAAACGACTCAATTTATCTTTGGATGACATTTAGTTCAGTTGCAATAATTAAAAATTGATACCGCAAAGGCTGCGATAGACTATCCTAAAATAGATACACTAAAATTAGTTAGCTGTACTTGTACGCCGCATGCGCTTTATTGTTTTGAATAAAAATGATAGTTTTGAACATGTGAGCCAGTTTGTAAGTGCTGACTCTCCAAAACACTCTCAAATGAAGCGTTCAACATTTTACGTATAGGGTTAATTTTTTACAGGTCAAAGGTCGGGGAAACGTTCACACAAGGCTTGTCATAACTCATAACTGAATACTTGACTAAAAAAACATTTTAGAATCTGGAATTTCGAATACATTCCAAAATTCCTCACATTCTATTCACATTTTTCTAAAACCCATGGACATAGGAATTAAACTAAATATTATCATCATTGTAAAGTAGCTATATATACGAATGGATTGTATGATAAATATTGAAAATAGTGGTTTTCTAGCTTTCAAGAAAAGAGACATTATAAGGTTGCGAGGTTGAAGGGCCGCAAAAACCTTTCGGGTGGTCTCGCAGGCCGCAATCGGAGAAACCGCAAAAGTGATTAAAACATCGCGAGTTTACTTACTTTAAATGAATGAGTTTATCGCTAAGAATCCATATTAAGCCTTTAGTTATTTTGAAATTGCTTGCCGAGAAATATCGTGGTATCTTCGGTATCTTTTCTCGTGTTTGGTTTCGTATTGTCGCTTGAAATTATATGCTTTCGAGAAAGATAGTACTTGAAAACACACCAGACACTGTGGTTTAACGTTGCTATGGGCAGGAAAATACGTTTACGCTTTACCTCGGTCACCCTTTTTCTACACTTACTTGTAGCGTGAACAGGCCCTAGTACTACCGTCAAAAAACAAGCAAGTCGTCTAAGTTGGGACTCGAACTCAGATAAAAAGAAAACTGATTGCGCGGTGCTAAGTCATCTTTGCGGTTCGTCACTGCCGTCACATGGCCGCTTGAAAATAGAAGAGTGTTTTGACTAAAACTAAGGCACAAAACGCGAACTCATCTCATCAGCTTGGTGCTGTCAGAAAAAGAAAATTCTTTATTCTTTTACCGATCACAGGACATCATTCACGTATAGCCACCGTCTTGACGTTTATAGATACAAACAATGAAATTCCGCACGCGTTTGGACCAATCTGATTTATAATAATGCAACGATAATAATTGAAGATATTGGTATGTATTTACCCAACTGTAGCGTTTGCCAAATGCATCGCCCAAAATAACTGGCATACTGTTCAAAATAAATACACCGAAGGATATAATTGCCTTTGAACTAATGCAAAATTACGCCGACGAATTCACAGTACTACGTCATCAACGGGACATACCGATTTGCGTTCGATTTCGACAGAGTTTACTTTAAATTTCGATTCTCGCAAACAAAATCCACTTAATGCAAGCTGTAAACGCTAAAAATCTTAAATATTATATAGAATCAAATTTGCTACAAATATGTTTGCGTGATAACCCACCTTTAAATAAGAATACCGCCAGAGAGCAGAGAGCAGTAATTTTTCGTGAATGTTTAGGTAATTTTTCGTGGTCATTGTGGCATTAGCAGCTTAAAGGCATTCTTTTTGTTGTCCTTTTATATATATGATTGTGTCGAATTTAGTGACTATTTAATATTGAGTTGCTCGGTTGCTATATTTGCTGCTTCAATGCAGCTACAAGGTGTCGCTGACTGGATGACTCTTTGAGTCTTTCGCGATCCCTCGTCTATTGCAACAAGCCGATATCCGTCTTCGTAATTTGTTATATGCCTTTTTTTATTTTTTCATATCGTATATTGGTTTTGCATGACGAAAATAAAATCTGAATCTGAATCTCATACCGTGTTTCCCCGAAAATAAGACCGGGTCTTATTTCAATTTTCTTCCGAAAAATAACACTAGGACTTATTTTCGGGAATGTCTTATATTTTCATTTATCAAAAACAAATTATAAAGTAGAGAATTACGAGATTCTAAATATACGAAATATGGGAAACCGATATCCATTTACTTATACTTAACAGTATTCATTATGAATAACTGCAGAACATGGATTATTAATCATTTAAAACGGGTATGTGATATTTCTTGCTATCGACTGGGTAGAAAAAAAATTCGCAATCGGTCTTATTTTAAGGGGAGGACATATATTGAAATCATTTTAAAAATTCAGGCTAGGACTTATTATCGGAGAAACACGGTAGATCAGTATCTTTAAACCAGGGCCAGGATTTCTAAAGGGGCGAGTGGTTCAATAATCGGAAATTCCCGTGCGACGGCTTCTAAAAAAGCGCTGCGATTACGCCACTCGTTTAAATATAGCCGACTTTTTCATCGCGCATAGCGATATTTCTGTTGCGTAAAAATATTCGATCAATGCATGGGCGATATGAGGATATAAAATGTCTTGCCATATTGAGTTAATTGTGTTCATTATAACTCGCCTACTCACGGTGAAATAGGAGCATAAACACTCTACCACAGGGGTGTGCGGCCCGCAAGAAAAATTGATGCTGCCTGCGGGTAAGTGCAACTTTTGAATGGTCTGCGAAACAAGTTTTTAATTTAGTTTAATCTGGCGAGTAATTCCAGTCTTTGTGCGTTGCAAACCCTGCCTATACCTAAGTCCAATTTTTTTTTATCTATGCTTATGACGTTACAATCTTTGTGCGTCAAATGAAGGTGTGGCCCGTGGTTTCATCCAGTCATTTAAATCTGGCCCACCTGTATGGAGGCTCTGCTCTACAATACTACGGCAATCTGCGAACATAAAATACGCAATGACCTGCTTAAATTTAATTAGATTCAGATTTTTGCAATATTTGAAATATTCTTTCAGCATTGCTTGCTCCGTTAGAATCCCATAGAGTACAACAGCGCAAATATTTCAATTGACGACCGATATGGGCATATTTAAAATGTCTTGCCTTATTAACTTAATTGCGTTCAGTTGTGTGTGTTGCGTTGATTAAAAATATATAAGCATTACTATTCCAAAATACTGCGGCAATAAAAACGTGTCGCAATGTCTCCGATTATATCTTATTTGTATTTCCCGATAAACGGTGAAATTTTCAAAGGCAATCCGAACTTTCGATTTTTAATGTCCATCAAAGCATTTTTGATATGTCGCGGACCCCCTGAAAATTAAAGTTATGGTGTTTCCAATCGTTTTATTTTTATTATTTACAATGCCGCTTTTTGAGCAAAATTTTGGGTTGCGGATTCACTCCTTTTGTTAGTTTTAGCATCACGTCGCCAGTAAATTTAATAAAATAACTGTTTATCACAACAAACTAGAGGTAAAATCGGGCTCAAAATTTCAGCCCAGCCCGACCCAGCCCGAGGGTATTAAACCCGACCCGACCCGAGTCCGACTAATTAACTGGATTTACAGACCCGAGCCCGAAGCAAATCCGAAATTTCATATTTTAGTAAGTTCTTTGAATTGCGGTTGCAAGAGTTTAGTACAGTATGTGTCGTGTTGATGAGGCAACTTCTGTTTTTTGCAGACCACGGTCTCTCGTGGCCAAAACACGGCCGAAACGCCTCATTTAAAAAAAAGTCAGCGATAGAGAAGCCCGACCCGATCCGAACGTAATGATTGACATTTCAGGCCCGACTTTCGCGTCGGGTCGTGCTTCAGATCTCAGCTCTACAACAAACTCACAATTCTGTGTGGGAACAAAAAAGTAATTATATCGTCGTTCTTGTGGAACAAGACACGCATATGTTAATGTAAAGTGGTGATTTAGGGAGATAAATGACAACGTAATTTAGCAACCTAGAACACACGTCGCACTGACAAAAACCGTGCTTCCGTAATATGTGCACCACGATGGCGCACAACCTGAACATGGTATGTGTACCAGGTTAGAGTTCAGGTTTTGCGCCTTCTTGGTGGACATACTACGGGAGCGACACGAAAATAATCGGCAATTTTAACAAAATGCAAATGCACCCGTTATTAGCAAATTTTTTAAAAAATTTTAAAGGAGCGGGTTGCCTCCCCCCTCCCCCTCTGTCATTAACTTCGGAGTGAATGCGCTTGACCCAGCTTTAAGCAATTGCACGTAAACATTTTTTTTTAAATGCAGGGTAGAGGTACAGACATTGAATCCACATTAAATTAGGAATTAAGCCTGCTGGGAAGAATGTCAATTTTCTCCTGGGAAGAAAATATTTTTGGCAATAAAATGTGATTAGTTATGTCATGGTTTCGCGTACGGCACAATTATGTATCGTGACCCATTCCCTGAAGCATGAGAGCTTCTAACGAACAACCAGCCACTTCGATAGATTGTTTTCACTACTTTTTATTCTGATCAATATTTTCTTCTAGCACACAAAAAAGTCAAGTCAAATGATTCCACTCAGTAAACATTCCTTGGTTGACAGTGTTGAGCTAAGTGTTAAGTTTGCTATCGCACTGCTGATCAGCCTTCGTTCTTGGTTCAAACTTCATGAAAATATGACTGGGCCTTTCGCCACAACAGGGGTTTATGGAACTCCGACTCAACCAATGGTTCCCAAAGTTGATTGACCAGGGATCAAAAAAAAGAAGAGGAAGGATATTCGTGGGTCAGGAAAAGGGGGCTCCCACTTGGGGCCAGTATCAGTAGGTATTACAGTATTAAGATATAGGTATAACTGAATGGTAATGTATATACACATGCTTTAAACCGTGATAATGACATAACAATTTGGCAGTATCCAGAACGCAAAAAGAAAAAAAAAATCAAGTGTTGAACTGTTTAACTTTAGTTCGGCGACCCATAATAAACTGTTATGCGGGCCGTAATTAGGTCACGGTTTGGGAACCACTGTACTTAACCGAATAAAAATAAATTCTGAAAACAGTGTTCCTTTTGAGTCGAAAATGACTTGGATGATAAAAAAAAATTCAAAATATTGACTTGACTTTCTTGCAGCAGGTTTGCTTGTAAAATGCTTGGTTCGGATCAAATGTTTGAATTACCACATCAAAAAAACAACAAATTTAAACTTATCAGACAATCATGAAAATATAAAACTTGTAAAGACGTTTAAATCTCACAGACTAAAAATGGGGCAAATTAGGATTTTTGCAAATTGAAAGAATTTTTTTTACGAGGAATCTCTGGAGACCATTCGTTCTGGTTTGAGAAAACAGAATTTAAATGTTAGTTTTTGCGAATTGCAAATTTCAAGAGAAGCAAATTGTTTGATTAGATAGTTCAGGGTGAATTTCTGCTTCATGAGTAGGATGAAATCTTTGGGAGAACCATGGACTCTCATCTGGTTGACAGATGAAATTGAATAACCTAATACAGCAGTTGTTCACAGATAAAATGAACTAAATTTAATTTCACAAACACACAGAGCTCTCGACATCACAAAGAACAGAATGATACGGCTGAATGATCAGTATTTACAATTGTGACCAGTGGAGCATATAATGGCAGAAATGAATAAAATAAAAAAATCACAAGGCGAACTATCTCGTCCATTTCTAGATAAGATATTGAGAACAATAATCAGTGTGAATATAGATATTTCATGATTATGCATTAGAATATAAATACATTGATATCACATAAACTATGGGTGGATGAGTGACTTGAAACATTCCAAGGCTACACTGTGAAGGAAATATCCAACAGTTGTGTAAAAATGACAAAGCAAGTGAACATTCTTGAAAAGTATGTGATATAAAGTAATATGAACAACAAAAAGAGTAAGAATTAGTTGACGTGTGACTTGAAACACTCCAAGACTATACTGTGGGGAAAATGGGCCAAAGAGAATTATGCAATACAGTATTTATTGGATAAATGAGAAAATATTGTTGGTTAGTAAAAGTTTTGGTCAAGCAGAATAGATTGGCAATTATCCTATTGATATTCGGAAAATCATGATTTCAGTTCACTTTGAAACAGACAGGGACAGCATGATATAGCTGAATGAACATTTTTCAATAAATATTTCTGTCCAAACCATAATTTTGATGCAAAAATTTGAAACATCCGGTTCCCACGATCATTGCTTTACTACTAAATCAATAAATAAATTTTAACTTAGGTTATTCTGACAACATGTGGCAAATCAGGGCTTTTCCTACTGTTACCAGTCATAGATATTTGAATATATAGTTGAGTATATAACTGTTGCAGAACTTATGCATAAAGCTTATCGTGGTACATCAACTGTTAACATAATTGATCTCGCACAGAACTTTGTAAAGGGATAATAATTGCCCGAACCTAAAATATTTGCATGGGTTGACAGGTTTCATCTATTTCTTTTGTCTCAAGGTGACAATTTTCTTTGTAGGCATAGACCATTCGATCCACACCTCCAGTTCCTGCAACAAATATGATAAATTAATTAGGTTAGAACATATGGCTGGGTTGGATCTTTAATTATTATTCAACTTCTTCGCGGGAGTCGCTGCTGAATAAACACTTCCCATAGTATCATCCCTTCACTCTGGATTGGCATTCTTAATTTGATTCACATAAAATATGTTGCGTAATCATCAAGATGGCAAAATAAACCACAGATTACATCTTCATCTCATAAATGCAAAATCGTTGGGTGCTTTCATTATTACCACGGGGTAATCTATCAATAGTTTCAGACTCTCTCGTATTCATTCAATATTATACTTCAACGACTGTTTGTCGAATCAGTCTGGGGTTGATTTGGGTCCAAACACAGAAGCTCTATATGTATAAGAAACTGCTTGTCTAGAGACTGTCTCAGTGGAAATATATGACCTAGCTTGGAACAGTTTTCCCAACAACAAGAGTTTGATCTTTTCCCAAAATAACCCAAGTCGTGTCTTATGGAAGCAAATAATACATGAGCAAGTATACCATAATGCATGGTTTGATGCCACAAGAAGTCGAATTGGAAAATTCTATCAATTTAGTGTGAACTGAATGTGACGTTACTATGTCAGGCTTCACTATAGAAAATTTTCAGTAAATTTACCAAATAACTGAAGTAAGCATGGTATAAAGTACTTGTATTTTTCAAAATTATGAACTCAAGATAGAATTTAATATTTCTAAAAGTTGAGAGTAGGAATCGGAATTAAATGACTTGCAATCATGTCGATTTCGAAGATGGGTGGGTGAGCAGATAAGGTTAAATTCAAAATCATCAAACTTGAGTGAACAAAATAATAGGTTTTTGTATGACACAGAGTTAGAAGTAATTTTTCTACATTGCCCTGGATAGGTTTGTATCCAACCTCTAACCCATAGTGAATGAGACATTGAATTACTGTGAAAAATTACTTTAATGTTAATTCAACATTTTTTCATATTTTTCAAAGTTCAAAGTTGTCCAATAAGCTGGGATTAATGTTTTATTAGGCTTGGCCCACAAGTAAATCATGCTTGGTACAAACAACCTACCGTTGCTGGGATTGAATCCAATTTCCTCTGAATCATCTTAACATCTTCAGGTGGTACTTTGTAAACCAGATCCATCTCCTCGGTGATGTGAGGTAACATATCACAGACTGCAACAGCTTCATCGTGGGAGAGAAGTGGAGTAGGCTGTATAAACAATGATTGATGTCAGCTGAGCAGGTTGTAGAATGATTGTTATCATGGATGCCGATTCATGTAATGGAGATGTGTTCCATATGTCAATGTGTTCAATGTTTTACTATAAAAAGGCTCTGAACAAGCAGCTACTGATGGAAGGCAATAGGTTTTGGGATAATCAGAATGTCACTGATTTCAAGTTTACTGTCCAATTTGATACAGCTAAGTTGAAGTGGCGGACATGGGACTTGAACCCATGAAATTATATTTATAATATTTGCCGTGAAATTGAAAACCTATTAATATTTGTGCCCATTCCGTTGTCGTTTATGGTCGGTGCCAAATCGAATAACATTTTTTCTGACAGGATTTTGTTGCATAGTGAAATATTTCAAAACGTTTATAATGAAACTGAATTTCACAGAAGAAATATATTCAGGTGTGAATAGTTGGTGTCGGTTTAATACAAGTCAGAAAATGAAATTGTCACCGAGATGATCGAAATGCAAAGGAGTTGAAGTTTGAACACGTTTCTGTGCATTTCAATGTAACGCTACCCAGCACATATAAATATGAGATGAAAGGCCGATCAACCCATCTGGGGTTTGAACTTTCACCGCCTCACCCACTAATTTCCCCGACAAAACCGAATAAATCACCGCCCTGCAAGCTATATGAGTAGTTGCTTGTTTGGAGCTTTGTTCATAGCAAAATCATCTTACTTTGACTTTTTAAAATCAAATCAAAGTTATGGACATTAACATTGGCTTTAAGAGTGACTTTTGCTTAAAATTTCAATGGCTTGGAGAGACAACTACTCATAATATGAGTTATGGTAGTAGCTGATCAGTGTTTCACCGGTATGACAATTAGTTTCGGTTTTGAAATATTATTCGCAAAATTCGAACAAACTGATCAAGTCAGAAACACTGATGTTGAAGAAGATTCAGTTAATAAACTCACCAATAATCCTCCTCCAAATAGAACCTTTTTAATCTGAAAAAAAAATTTTTTTTACAAACAAAGGCAACAGAGATGCATAGCTTGAAGGAGTAAACCAAATTAGGGGAATGATTCAGATCGCACTGTACTGGTTATGCGAGACAGACTTGGTAAAGAAATGTATGGTGGCCCATCGTTGTCACGCGTAAATTGAAAATAAAATGCAAAAAATAAAATAAAATGCAAAAAAAAATTAAAAAAAAAATAAAGAAATGCAAAAAAAAAATTTAGAAAAAAAAAAACGTGAATAGAAATAAAATATAAACGGTTGACAACGATGGGCCGCCTCGTGGCTCATCGTTGTCACGCGTTTCTATTTTGAGAAAATTTGCTTTGGCTTGGGACCAACGTTGTCATGCATAATCCTGTGCACGTTCCATTGAAATCAGGTCTAAGCATAATCACCTTCCAGCCTCGTGGTTGTACGATCAGACAGTAGTGGCTAGAGCCGACGGACGAGTCTAACTAGGTTACTTTATGCACACAGTCCTTTTTCTAATGATTCAAGTCTGTGCTTTGTGAAATATTTACATTTTAGTTTTGCAGTTATTACAAATTACGATTACTATACAGGTACTGATTATAATTGCTGAAAAGAGACTCTGCATGGGTACAATTGACGGTCAGACGGTACCGGTATCGCAAGAGTGTCTAGACAACTGAGCATTTAAGCATCATTCTCTAATTCAATTACCTTCTACACGTAAAAACAAATTTCCCGAATTTGCGTACTCAATTCTATATTCTCTTAAATATTGCTCAAGAAAATCAGTGAGTTTGAAACCCAGGAAACACTGTTTGTGCGCGTAGGAATATGCATGACAACGTTGGTCCCAAGCAGAAGCAAATTTTCTTCAAATAAAAGCGCGTGACAACGATGGGCCACGACGCGGCCCGTCGTTGTCAACCTTTTTATTTTCTTTTTATTCACGTTTTTTTTTTCTTAGCTTTTTTTATTTTGTTTTTATTTTATTTTCGCTTCATTTTTAATTTTTTTTTTGCATTTATTTTAATTTTTTTTTATTTTTCTATTGTTCTTTCACAACTATTTTTTTATTTTACTTTTATTTTTCATTTCTATTTTATTTTTTATTTTATTTTCCAATTTTACGCGTGACAACGATGGGCCACCATAGAAATGTTAAGTTGGTCTTAAGAATTCCTTTTCTACGTTGTAAAAGTAAAGTGCTCGTGGTTAACCAGAATTTAGTGGTTTATTCTAGACGATTTGCATGCGAGCAATAATATTGCAAACGATCACCTATGACAGGGGTGTGCAAAGTGCGGCCCGCGGGCTAAATGCGGCCCGCAAGGGAAAATTGTGCGGCCCGCGGAGGAAACTGAATAGCAGTTTGAAAAATTTTAATATTAAAAGATAAAATAGCTAAATTAGTTTTGGTTCCAGCCTATCAGTTGATGTTGTCTAAATCGAACCTAGAATAAGATTTGACAGCAAATTATTTGGAAATGAAACTTGGCGCATTTTGAATATACTGAAAACTTCTCAATCAAGTTAATTCCCACATTTGAAAAAGTCATGGCTTCAAATATTGCACTTTTCGGTAATATATTTTTGTTCTAAAATGGGCGTCGCATCGCATTGCTAGCACTTCCATTTAAGCAAATTTGGATAAAAGTAGTCGGGAAAAGAATCCAGCAGCAAATTTCTCACTGAATTCGTTTAAATTGGGTGCAACAATATATATCTTTAAATTACAGTTCTAAGAACTTAATGTGTTTTACCTCATCATTTCTGTTGGTTCTGCTTGGTGCCAAATGCCAAACTTTGCCTTAGGAATACATTAATGTTTCGCCGGTACTGATGACTGTTATATGGGGTTTCCGCAGTCTGTGCATAAAAGATTTGCGAATGGAGTCATTACTACAGGGGGGGGATCATTTGTACAAAGCCGGTGCAAAATAAAAATAGTAATTATCAAATTAGGGTTAAGAAGACCGATAGCGCCGAAAATTCAACTTTTCAATTTATCCCTAACCCTTCGGATAATTATTAATTTATTTTAAATCACTTTGAAAGTCGCCACCCGCCGTTTTAACAAATAAGTTGACCTACGCTTCCTCCGAAGATTTTTTCTCCGAAATATTACGCAAGATCATTTTGAAAATCTCCAAGTTTCATGAGATAGCTTGACTTAATTTATCATTTATATTTATATCATACTATCTCAGAGCCTATGCAAAGACCGGTAATTTTTAAATATCGGCTTGTCTTGGTTTGCGTGCGAGTCAATCATATATTGGCGAAATTTTCAGGAATGCAATGAACGTTCAGCATTCATGAATACCACTCACTTTGATGCTGCAGACCTAGTATGTAATATTCGCATTCCAATGTCACTTGCAACGTTTCCATATATTATAATTACACTAATAGGAATGATGATACCAAAGAGTTTTCCTTTGCGAAGGTACACGAAATACAACGAGGATGATTCTCGATAAAAACATGAATATAAAAAATAAACAAATGACATGGCAGTGGTTCCCAAATAATTTGAAGTGGGTCTCAAAATATCAATCCATTTCATAAATAATTTTTATTCGACATTATGGTTGCTGAAATCCTTGAAATCAATGTTGGAAAAGAAGTACGATTCGCATTCTCAGATATCAGACATATAGTCGCGATATATAATGGTTCATGTGCACAAATCTCCCATGTAGCATTGGTTAGTTGGGCATGAAATGTAAAACGCTCGTTTGTGTTTTTCAATTCAATAAAATCAATTCAGTTATTATCGTTATACAAACCATGTGTGGCAACTTTTATTTTCAATTTCGAATTTATCGTTGACTGAAATACCGCACGACACTCGACCAAACCTGTGTTAAGCTTGAACGATAGGAACGGATTCATCGTCACTTGAACTCCGGAAATTGTGTATTTTATTGGGAGTGCAAAATAAATGTAACAAAACGAATTTTTTCGGAAACGGGTGTCGTAAAAAGTAAAATTTGATCTAAATTATTTGCAAATAATGTTTTATCTATCATCTAACGTCTGGTACACATCATTTTCCGGGAGAACTCTAAGGCGGCGAAAAGTCATTTAAGTTAAAATATAGAATGTTTCACGTATTCCAAAAATTTATGATTGTTGCAATGGAGCAATCAGAATATCGTCAGTAGGTCGCAGGGATTTGAATCATCCGGATTTGGTATTCTATATTGCCCGCCCCTACGAGTATCATGACTATTTGAATGGCTCCAATAAATTCACAAAGAAGAAAACAAAGACCCGTCATACTTGCACTGGTAAATCGTGCACTTTGGTCACAATTCATCAATGTCATTGATAGTCACATGACCACTCTAGTTCACAGAAACGCACTACGTTGTATTCCAACATCTAATCGACGCCGCCGTGCTTTTTTGCGGGAGGAGGGGAATCGGCATGCTTGTATAATAATCATATTAAAAACAAGAATTTTGCCATTAATGCAAGTGCTTTATCTTCCATGTCTGCACCACATAGGTTAGAATTCCAGCAAATATCGTTATGAAATGCAAAATTAGGTTACAAAAGTACTAGTATGCATCTTATTTGTCGCATTGAAATATTCTCTTCGAAATCGAAAAAACTGCTGAAAAAATCGAAAAAAATGATTTGCAGTTCGTGAAAAAAACTGCAAAAGTGCTTCTCACTTTTCGCAAAAAGTGCTCTAATAGTGAACACTGATAACAATGACCAGGTTTCTCTCATCTTGGTCTGATGATGTTGCGCAGGGGCGTAGCAAGAAATTTTCAAAGGTGGGTCCTGAAATTTCTATTTGCCAAGCTGGCCGAATGCCGGAAAATGTGTTTTCATGATTCTTGGGGTCTAAAAAGCGTTTCAAGCTATGAAAAATTCATATGTATGATACAGAAAGATGCTTTTATTTTTTTACATTTCAAAAGAGGTTCCGACCCCCAACACCACCCCCCTGACTACGCCCCTGTATGTTGATGTCATAAGTTATAGATCCCGGGTTTAAACCCTGATGAGCCTGAAGTCTCTGCTTGGGCTTCATTTATAATATCCATAACATGCCAACCAACGAACATTATAAGCAAGGGGTTACGAAGGGTTTAGGCAAGGAACAGCACACACACGCAGCTTCAGGCCGGATTTAAACAAGCTTTTGGATTTGTGCGTTTTTTTGTCGATAAACTGTTTCTATTTATAGTTTCATATTGAGCTTCTGGCCCAAAGGCAAGTCTATAATCTGGATCCGACACACTCCTGAGAGTAATTGCCCACCCTTGTTGCAATCGGTCTAAATTTGACTGACGACCCCTGCTGTACTCCCACCTCAACGGGAATGGTGTTTAATGTGAATCAAGCGACGTGCATGGCAGTCAAGATCATCAACTCCAGACACGTGCCTGCATTATCTAGATAATTTGTGATGTAGCAAGGTGCTCACGTAGGTTTTTATGTGAATAACATTTTATTTTTCATGCGCGCCACATTTGCATTGTTGTCTCCAATTGATCATTCTATATTTCAATATATTGGAGTTTAGAATCCATGACTTAAGCTGTACACCCTTCGTATACCGTTTATCAGCTGTATATCCTACTTATGGTCCGGTATACACTTACCGTATACCCGGTTGAAAGCACTGGTCTAAAGTTCTAAAAAGTGTGTGTTGTTCATAGCGAAACGCTGTTGAATATATTACAGACTTGGGTGCAGTTCGCCTCCCTTAGCCTGACGTCATTACTTGATTATTTCATTCATTCTATTTCAAACATCTAGTAATCGCCGACCATTAAACCCTACATCAGTGTTTCCCAACCCGAGTCCGCGAAGCGTTTGAATGAGTCCGCGAAGCGTTTGAATGAGTCCGCACTGAGCCAGAAATTCCGCTGCGGGCAGCAAACGTTTTTGCGAAAGTTAAATATCAGCCAAGTTACGATTTTCGTTAACATTCACATAAAACATAAGAAGGAAGTTTATTCACATAACATTGATCAAGTCAATTATTACTAGTTACTGAGTATGACTGGGCATATATTCGAATATTCAACTATTAGAATAGCAATTCACTATTCGAAAATTTGTTACCAGGTGACGCAACGGGTCAAAACGATTGGATTTCACAACTCACTAGCGAATTTCCGACGAAAACACAACCACACGCGTGTTTGTCGCGAGTTCGAACAACGGAATAACTTTTTTTCTGGTAGGTGTCAATGGTGGCAGCCCATATTTTCTAAATTGAAAAGCGGCAATACAAAATACTAAAAATATAACGGAGAACACCTTAACTTTTGTTTTATGATTGTACGCGACCGATAAAAAACGCTTCTTTAGACATTGCGAATCGCAAAATTTCGAGTGATACTGTAGTATATGTACCAGGGCATTTTCCCTTAGGCCTCCACATTGGTACGTACAGTACTGGAGCACCGTAAGTGTTATACGAGCAGCTCAGATTTGTTGAATTCACAGAAATACGAATTAAAACAAAATATAATCGGGCCTTTTACAACGCATTTTTGTGTCCACGGATTGTCATGATATTTTCTGATTAGTATTGCTTTTATTTCGTCAGATCAACCAAATATAACCGTGTAATATGTTAGCAGATTGCTGTGGCATTTCAAAGAAGTAATCCTATCATCTTGTCATAAGTCTACGCAACCGCGACCATGAACACAATTAAAATAGAAAGACATTTTAACTTCTCGTCGTTGTCATGGATTGAATATAGTGCGACAGAAAAGGCCATTATACAATAAAAAAAGTCGGCTCTTTTAACGGACGCGTAATTGCGTCGAATTTCCGATTTTGAAATTCGTTCAAATTGAGTTGCGTTTGGTTTTATTGGCTATTCACACAGAGTACGGTTGCAATAAAAGCACCTTGAGTCCGCAAAGGTTTTTGCCGGTGAGAAATTAGTCCGCGACCAAAAAAGGCTGGGAAACACTACCCTAGATGGTCATAACTATGTTGTCTTGTCCGCTCTTCATTGTTTCACAAATGAGCTTGCTATTTGGCGGAGAGAAAAAAATGTAACCGCACTTTTGCGAATGTTACAAGCCTACATATTTTCATTCCGATGTCTCGCACAAACGAGTTGTATGTACATGAAATACAACCAGAACAAAATGGAATTTTGACGTCTCAACAAAATAAATAAAGGTAATAAACGAATGATATATGCCAGTGGTTCTCAAGTCGATTTCGAGTTTGTTGCGAAATAACAATCCATTAACTAAAAAAAATATCCTTGGAGTAGTGGCCGTATTTAGTGATAAAAAACTAAAAAAATTTGTGATAATTAATTTTGAAGAGAAGTACAACTCGTGGACGTCAGTGGCGTTATACTGAGCACAAAAACAAGCTCACGTAAATCACCGATTAAATGGGCATGGAAAAAACTATTATCTGCCGTAATTTAATGTTAATGAGTCATTTTTTTTTTTATAGCCAGTCAATAACGCATTCAAATACGCCGGGATTAATGGTGGGCAAAATATAAACCATATAATTTGAATATTTTTAATGAACGCCGAATAGTGGCATAACGTATATTGGGCTGAAAACTCAAAAACAATGCTGCGTTTAGGCCAACGTGTAATCTGTATTAAAGCTGGCTCCATTTTATTTAATAATTTATTTATTAAGTAATAATTTTCACGCAATGGCAAACATCGAAGTTTGGTTTTTATATTTGAGGCAAAACTGTGAGTTAACATCTGTGTAAATGTTGAAGACAGCTATTGAGGAATTCACAACACATTTCACTCTTATTGTGTATTTTACTTTATGCGTCGGATTCAATTTACTATATAACAAATTGTAAATTGCAAACCCAATTCTAAGCGAACTATATCATCATGAATGACCTCGGAATGTTATTTATGAAGCTAGCAATTAACTTTTTCTACTTTAATAAAGAGACTTTTGTATTAAAGTATTTTGTATTAAACTTTTGTAAAGTTATTTTTGTATTAAATATTGAATGAAAACGCTGTAAATAAGCCATTGCGTCAATAGTCAATTTTTTGAGGCGAATTACTAATTAAATGAATTGAATAAATGGCATTTCTACGAGGTCATACTACGTCACTCTAAAATTTCTGGCAATTTTTATAAAATAAATTAATATATTTATCTGGTTTGACGTTTCAAAATTTACAAAATGATGTTGACGCAAATTGTGAAAACTCAGGGATTAAAAATATGTAATGATCGCAGGAATAAAACAAAAGTCCCCAAGATGCAAAGATTCTTCACTTTTGTCGTTTATCTGATAGCGAGAGCTGTAAGTAAATTTCTACTAAATTCAAGCGACTGTTTTAGCAACTCGCGATGCGTAAGGTGCGGAGATAACCTACCCTAAACATGATTGAAATTCTTGCGGTGTTGCGTAGAGGTGAAACGAGCAAATTAATATAGTTTTGACGGGAAACCGTAATATGCTTACCGAAAAACGACATTGTGGTTTGTTCTAAGCAAATGGTAGAACACTCTCATGGAGTACATTTTCAAACAAGGGGGTTAGGACCCCCATAATCCCGCGATGACTGCGCCCCTGCTACCAGGTTGGAAGTAGGCCATGATTTTATTCTGATTTTCCTTATTTTAGTTTCATTACAAGTCCGGGGACTGTCTATGTTAGCATGGTAAATATACCCCTTGCCCATAGGCTTCTGTCCATTCACACAACTTGATGTGAAATAGACGAACAAAATTAGTTGCCTTCATATTGGTACACATATTTCTGGAGGGCAACCACTCACTAAATACTGACCTTGATATTTGATCTTTGCATTGATGAGGCAAGAAGTGCGAGATCAGATGATGTGAGAGGAACGTCAAACAGATGAAGTAAATCGAGACGTGAACAACGAGCAAGAATAGATGCCAGAGTGTATATATCATTTGGAGTGAGAGGCATGAAGTCGAAATCAATCTCACGGATGGATGATTTGATGATATTATCGACTCCCTCTCCTGACTCATTTAAAGCGTGCATCAGCTCTAGAAGATCTTCCCTCCTTACTGCCTCTCTCCCTTTGATCTTACGTTGGAACCAGTCCGGTCTGATTTGATTCTTCATGCTTGATACCAAGATCGATCGTTTTATCCCCAGATCAATATCTTAGAAAAAAAATGTTGTGAATTATAGTTCATTTAAGAGAACTGAAAATGAAACCCAGGGCTGTAGAGGATAGAATTTTATCATATGCCAGTGAGAGGAAGGCCAGCCGAGACCGAAAAAAAATTTAAATAATTATTACCTAAACAAAGAGAGCAGATTTTATCAAATTTCCAATATTTCAACTCAAAAAAAATCAGCAGGGTGTCAATCGTAATTTCAGATCTGTACCCCTGGACAGGTTAAGTCTAAAATATCCCAAAATAAATTCCAATTTGAGATTGAGATTATTTTGAATTGCTGGACTCCTCACTACCGTTAGATAGTTTACGTAACAGCTGGTCGGTTATCATATCCTCCACTATCAAAATAACTGGCTAACTAAACCCATGCCCGGATACATGGACCAGTATCGGGATGAGAGGCCGTGGTTTGTCATATGAGTAGTGTTTCATCGGCTTTGTTCTCGTCAAGGATTAAAATTGTGAATCTTATCCTAATATTTCAGATTTCTGACAAACCTAAATTTGCGAAAATAGACAGGAACAATTTGTATGCAAACCGTAACATACTCTGATACAAATTATCAAAATACTGCTTCTCCCCAATCTATAGAACTCCAATTTCAAAATACTGAACAATGTTATCGCCGCTAGATAAATATCGCGGAGTGAATCTCATGCCCGCCACCTCACCTACGATATAAGAAATTTTGTAAGCAATGCCAAAACGGAAAAAAGTTCCATTCCTCAAAATATAGTAGCCTCTGTGGAATTATGTTACAGGAATAGTCTTAATTGTAAATTCTCAATATTTTCACCACGGAGAATCAAAAAATTGCATAATAATTTTTTATCAATTGCATAATAATATTTTATTGATATTGTATTTAGTACCAGCCAATATTCTATCGAGCGTTTCATAAATATAATCCCAAGTCTGCATTGCTTTGAACATGACATTAAAATTATGTGTAAATAAACTAAAATTGTTTCGAAGTATTTAGACTATAAGATATATCGATACCACTTTACAATATACCATACTTAGTATAAGAACCGTGGTCTAATCAGGAAACCCTAGTAAGGAAACTTCCAGTATGAGTAGTTTAGAAACACTAGAATATGCTAGAGAGCTCACCAGATTTCAAAATGCCGACATCAGCTTCTTTTTCCATTGCAATGTTTGATGTTTTAGGGTTGAGTATAATGCCGCAAAGGATTTTACGAACTACCACCCAATGCTTTTCATGGATTTTGGTTGAAACAAACTTTCTGAATTTCCATATTGACATTTCAGCAATGCAGAGGGCAGTGAGGGCCTCCTGTTAGAGAAAAATACAATTTGAGCAATGAAATATTTGAAACTAAGAAACAAGTTCCATCTACAAGCAAACGTAAGTCTAAATTTGATTATTGTGAAATGAAACGGCTTTATTTTATTAAATATCATTTTTAAACAAATGATTTACGTGAATGAACCCACTGGCTTAGCTGTACAAATTTGTTAGATTCGAAACTAAGTTGGATATATATAATATTGTACCCAACACCCCACCTAGTGGATCTAATTCACCTACTTGAATTGTCTGATGCGTAAATAAATAAACAAGATGTCCTTCCAGAAGCCTTTGATTGAGCCCGATTGATCCAGGAAATGGTATCATGATATCTTTGAAATGATCCACAGTAATTCCTGGGGGTAAATCTGATTTGGTGAAAGTAACTTTCTTGTTTTTTGTGCCCTTGAATGACATTTCCTTCAAGCTGTGAACGACGTCATAGATAGACATTCCAGTTTTCATTTGGTTCATGGTGATATGTTCGGATCTTAAGGTGTCCCGCAGGACAAACAACAAAACTTCTGTCATAGTGTCGGGACTATATTGCTCATAGATTATCAAGACTGATACCGTGAAAATGAGGAACATTGGTATGGAGCACAGGGAGAAGATAGCCTTAGCTTCATTCTGCAGACGATTCATGACATAGTCACTCTTGTCTCCACTGAAAGCTTTGACAAGTTTCATGACGTCTTCTTCAGAGAACCCTGCCAATGCGACGACTCTCTCGGGACGAGCTTCTCCTTCGAAATTACGAATGACATGCTCACGTGTGGAGTAAAGAATGCGGATACCTGGGTAGAGCTTGCCAGCGAGGATGAGGTTTAGAATAAGCTTGGGATCTGCTTTCTCCGTATGATTGCATTTGCCATGTGGGATTCCAAGACTTTCGGGAGAAGAATATTGATCAGCTCCATCAAGAACGAGAAGAAATCTTTCAGGATATTCCCTGATCCATCCAACACCCATGTCAATGACATCGTCATTCAAATCCGTTTTGCCAAATAAGAAATTTTTTGGGCTAATTCTTCTATGAACCTCAAGATCTCGGAAATCCATGCGATGAACAACCTCAACCTTTCTAAGCTCTTGTATCTTGCCATCAAGCACATTAACGGGGTATGTTTTTGTCATTTCAGTTTTACCATATCCAGCTCCTCCTATCAGAGCAACTCTTGATTTTCCATCTGAGAAAAAGTTCTCCATGGATATTGGGTTGCCAGGTTGTTTCTGAGTTTGCTGACTGAAACCCACTTCTGGTTTGTACTCGGATTCTGTTACTGTGGTTTCGTAATAGTCGACTTCTACTGTTTTGGGATTGGTTTTGTAATCGGGGGTTTTGAGATACTTCTTTTCAATCGGCTTTGCACTTCTCCTAGTTAAATCGTTGATGGCATCCTTGAATTCTTGGACTTTTTCTGTGACTTGAAACAAAAAATAATTTGGCATTAGTACGTTGTGTATATTTTTCTCTTGTTTTATTGATAGAGCAGCATAACCTATTCAGTAGGGAATTACAAAGTATTTATGGAAATAATTTAGTCTCAATAGCCCATCACACACTTTTATTTAAAAGTTGGATTTTAAAAAAGAGATTTCATGCGATTCATCACAGGCTATTTGCAAATGGCACAGCTTTCTGAAGGGACTTTTATGAGAATAATTTATAGGAAATGCGTTAATAAGATCTTGATGGAAACAGGATAGCTTTGTTAGAAAAATAACAAACATAAGGAAAGACATATATTCTTTTCAAAAGAGCACGATAAGCCAATTTTTATGGAAACTAAAAAATCCAAAATCCAAATTGGAAATTTCAAGTCTTCAAGGAAAGAAACACAAAAGCGTGCCCACAACATTCACCACTAAAATAAACCTCAATTAGAAATTTATGTAACTAATCGCAGTACTAACCAAAATTCTAAGAATTGATCGTCTATTATACAACGATACAGCTCAGTGATGCTACTGCACCATATGGATTTCTCGAAATGAGAGCTTTCCAGAGTTATGCAAGTACAATATTTTACCCCCCCCCCCCCCCCCCCCCCCCCCCCCCCGGCCTACTGTCCAATTGTTGTTTCAATAAATAAAATGGCAAAACATGTTGATCAAGATCAAGGATATATCAACTGACCTTCTACAGCTGCTTTCTGCTCATTTGATGTATTGGTTGGTTGAGTGTCAGAAATTCTATGGCGATCAGAAGTGTAGTGGTGATGGATGTTAGTTGTATTAACTGAAACAATATAAATACGGGTTATGGGACAAAATATAGGATGCTTCAAGGAGTTAGCAATGCACCAACTATAAATAGGATAGAATCATTTCCTAAATTCTTCAAATATAAGTGGAACGGAAAATTTATTTACTTGTTTATTTTTATTCTCACCAAATCTGCAATTATTGAAGTAAATTACTTTTGATTTTATATTTCATAGAAACGACTAAACAGGTTACTTGGTCTGATATGTTTTATTGGGTGGAAGACATCTTTGTTATATTGGTTTTAAATTTGTGATATATAGGTAAAGCGATCTGGAAAACTTAAAAAGTGAAAATCTGATTAGAACCAACTATGCAATAATATGAATAAATCAAAGCGATTTGGCAAACTCCAACTGTATGTTCTTTCGAAATTTTATCTGAAAAATCTTATTTTGGCCAGGATATTGCTGACCCATAATCATTGAAAACACTTAAACCCTTAAAATGACGTGGTGAATTGAAACGATGGTTTGTGCTGCTTATTTAGTACAGATTGCTTAGGATATTTGGGATTACAAAAATAAGCTACTCACAGATCTGTTGTGTTGAAATGTTTTGTTCCCCGAAGTGAGCTTGACCAATCTGGCTGCCTGCTACTGTAACTGAAAAAGTATAAAGATGACTTGAAATTCTAAAATTAACGCAATTAGTTAGATTTAGCTTATGCAGGGGAATTCAGGGTATATTCTGGGTTGGGATAGATATAAAACCATAGAAAAATAGTTAGAGTAAGCATATGAAGTAGGATTCATGGTATGTTTTGGGTTGGGATAGATATAATACTTTGGGAAAATGGTTAGAGTAAGCATATGAAGTGGAATTCATAGTATGTTCTGGGTTAGGATAGATATAAAACCATGGAAAATGGTTAGAGTAAGCATATGAAGTGGGATTCATGGTATGTTCTGGGTTAGTTTAGATATAATACCTTAGGAAAATAGTTAGAGTAAGCATATGAAGTAGGAGGATTCATGGTATGTTCTGGGTTAGTTTAGATATAAAACCTTAGGAAAATGGTTAGAGTAAGCATATGAAGTGGGATTCATGGTATGTTCTGGGTTAGGATAGATGTAAAACCATAGGAAAATGGTTAGAGTAAGCATATGAAGTGGGATTCATGGTATGTTCTGGGTTAGGATAGATATAAAACCATGGAAAATGGTTAGAGTAAGCATATGAAGTGGGATTCATGGTATGTTCTGGGTTAGTTTAGATATAATACCTTAGGAAAATGGTTAGAGTAAGCATACGGAATGGAATTCATGGTATGTTCTGGGTTGGGATAGATTTAAAACATTAGGTAAATGGTCAGAGTAAACATATGAAATGGGATTCGTGGTAAAACTGGTTATCCACTACCTTGTTCTGCATTAAAGTGCAGGAACCGAATGATAAGGGTATAATACTCGACTACATGCTTGGAGACCAATGCAAAACTCTTGATAATGTTACCGATAGAGGATGTTCCCTGATGTTCATGTGCGTCAGATGGTGTCATACTTCTAGAGCCACTTGAAGCTATAAAAAGAGAAAATTTTCATTGAATAATAACAATTAACCTTTGGGTTAAAATAAATATTTCAGCAGTTATCTCACATAACTTAAACTTGTCTAAATGACCTAGAGACTTGACTTAGAAAAAATTTTTATGAACACGATTTTTTATGTTAAATAATATTTTTCGATTTTATGAATAGTGTTGTTTTTTTTCTAAAGTTTTCAATGGGACTCATATATTCACATTTCTTTGTTGTTCATGACTCAGACTCACTAGTGACTGAAATTGACTTCAGATTTATAGATCAGGAATTCGTCATACTAAAGAAATGACACACTCGTCTTGATTCAAGACTAAGATTTAAACTTTGTATCCAGAACTTGGTATGTAAGACTACACTATATATGTATACTATGTGTAAGATAAATTTACATATAATCAATTTATTTCAAATATTTCATTTTTGGCTTATATAACTTTGGTTCCTCAATGATTCAGTCCTATATCTCTGCAAAAAACTACCTTCTCCTCCAGTTGCTCCTCGTTGATCCACAAGCGGTCCAGGTAATCGGAAACCAAATGGAAGTGCACCAAGTTGAGGTGATGAAACACCGGACACTCTCTTCGGTTCTTCACATCGTGCAACTGAATAAAAATTGAGGATGCAATATAATAATTGTTTTATTGTTTTTTGAAAAACTATATCTATCTAATTTTTTATTATCATTCAGCATTGTCTTTACTCTAATATATTTAAACAATATATGTGCGCTTTGTGTATGAACAAAACCTCAATCTAAGCACTTTATTTAGTGATCGCTTTATAACCCGGTGCCCCCTATGGTTCTTGAAATACGCTACTCGATCCTACCTTCACCTCCAGGTGACCCCTCTGGCTTTGAAAATTGATCAGCTGATTGAGATAGAGATGAACCGAGTGGAACATTAGAAACTCTCTCCTCTTCCACAGATTGCGAGAGTGTTGTTGGATGAGGAGAATCTGTTCAGGAATAATGCTTAAACTACATAGCAATATTTCAAGGTTACCCATGTTCCAATATATGTTATACACAATCAAGGGTTATCCTAGAGGAGGGCGCTTCCTTATACAAGTTAGTTTGTATTTGTTGTTATTTAATAATGCAAACCTTTCCATTTACTTGATATTCCATTAATTTATCTTCGTGTATAACATAACTTGTTTAGCCCCCAAATTATATTTGAAGTGTGGTATCAGAGGCATCATTATGAGAAACACGCCTCGGGCAGCAGAAAAGTTTGGTACAACCACAATATGTTAACTAGAAACCTTTAAAGAACTCAATAAGTGCATGTCCGCAGAGCAATTTTGCCCATTTCTTTACAAGCTGTATACCAACGGCTGACATATAGTGTGGAATGATAGAATTGCATTCATACCCCACATTGCCCTGCATTGTCTGCTACAGATACACCTATGTCTAAAGTTATCAGTACCTTGGTCAGATTCATCATCTTTATTCAGGAAACCATCTACTAGTTGCCAGATTTTTTCAGTTGTTGCTGATTCACCTGCATGAAATGAATTTGAAAAGAAAAAAAATGAAAATTTCGAACAAACGTGTGTCCGGCGAAATTGCTAAATAAATAAAATTTTGCATTGTGAGAATTTTTTGTGGGGCCCAACTATATGTCTGAAGTTTGGTATATGCCCCAACGACAAAAAATGTTGAATGAACAGTTTTAAATAGTAGACATTAGGTTAAACTATCATTACTCACCATTCTTGAATTTCCACTGAGTCAACATTTGCAGATTCCTTTCTTCAACAGATCTTGTATTGTCCTTTATGTTTTCGACTTCAAGCATACTGAGCGATAAACCTTTCCTAGACAATGCAAATCTTTTGAACTGCGCAGCGTTGGCAAAGACTTTTGGAACTTCCAGAAAAGCATCTTCGATTCTGGAACCTGTTGGAAGGAAAATCAGAATAAATACGAAACCCTATTCTCGCTACATTCGGATGTATTTAAATATAAGCCTCATGCCCACCAACTGTGAAGATTTCAGATACAGACCCCATGCCGAACATTGCAAAAGATCTCTGATACTAACCCCATGCCCACCACCTCTTGAGATCTCTGATACTAACCCCATGCCCACCACCTCTAGGAATCTCCGATACTAACCCCATGCCCACCACCTTTAGGAATCTCTGATACTAACCCCATGCTCACCACCTCTCGACATCTAAGATACAAACCCCATGCCCACCATCATTTAGGATGTTGGATACAGAACCAATTTCTAATAACTCTTGGGATCTGACCCAAATGGAAAGTATTTTTACAATCCTAGATTGAATGCTTGTCGAGAACTTTGTATGGCACAAAGGTGTGAAACAGGTCATGAAGTTAACTTACCAGTGACACCACTATTCTCTGCTTTGAGATGTTTCTCAACAACCTCCCTGATATATCTGGATGTTGCATTTGATCCTGAAATACCGAAGAAATATGACCAATTTATGAGTAAATATTTCAATTTTATGATGAAAATCCATCATCAGGTTGGTTCCACAAATGAATCATGACTCTGACTTGACTATGGCTCTCAAGTCCTGATTGCGAAAACTTCGACTTGGGCTACGATATTAAATAACGTTTTACATTCTTCTCAATTCCAGAAAACTGCAATCAATAGCTTGAGTTTCCCACTCCCCACTTTTAGAATCATGAAACACGACTCTGAAGCTGTGGTGAGTAGTAACTATGTCTCCGATTTCAATGCCAGCAATACACGTAGACCTACAACTTCACAAGTTAATGAGGTTACTCAACGCTATGTACAACTGGAATGATGTGTTTCTCACATTTCGTTTCAAGCACAACCTTATACACGCAACTGATCAAAACTTTCCCACAAACCTACTTTGTTTATGGAAAACAAACAAATATTTACCGTTTTTTTCTTTCCAAAGTTGGAGCATCTCAAACTTTTGATCTTCAACAGAACTTGCATTATCTTCAATAATTGTTGAGATTTCATTGATACTGAGTGCGAGACCTGTCCCAGCTTGTGCAAACATTTTGAAATGTTTAAAAGTTGGAAATCTCTTCAAGATATCAGTGCAAGCGTCTTCAAATCTCTCATTCTCTCCTGAAATATTGATTAGACTTGCTTTACACAATTGCTATGAATTAAGCCTAGTACAAGTATGAACAGTCGTAAGCAGCGACCACAATGAACATAAAATTGTTAACATATATATCATCTTGTTTTATCACCACACCCATGCAAGTTCACTTTTCCCATCTTATGATAAATCAACTTTTCCAACTTCCAAAATACGTAATAAAATCTTTTTACATTAAATCTTACTAGATGGCACTAGAGAGTCATTATTTTATCCAATTGGTTACTAGTCATTTAATTACTGGTGAAAGGGTTAGGGTGACACAACATTAGTACACTGCTAAGCATTTCTAATTTGAAAATTTTTTGAATTGCTTGAAAAAAATAATTCACAAATCTACTATGTTATAGCAACTTCTTCTCAAACATATATTTAACAACATTTCAATATTTTCAAATATTTGAATCATCTAGGCTTTTCCTGACTGAATAATTATCAATTACTTTAATATTCAAACCCACCTTCACCTGCTGTTGCCTCTTGTGGCTCTGGATGTTGCTCAGCTGATTGAGGATCAAATGGAGATGTACCGAGCTTAGGTGGTGGAACATTGGACACTCTCTCCTCTTCCTCAGATTGTGCAAGTGAAGTTGCATCTGTATGGGAAATAGGTTGATAAATATAACACGCTAAACAAAGCCCTACCCAAGCACCCAATTATATGTATACTGCAACACCTAGGGTACCGTACCGACATAACACTTGTAATTGTTTAAGTCAGTGCTATCAAGGAAAAAAGTGGGTTTAGGAATTCTAATCTAATCATATTCCTATCATATCATATTTTGCTAGGTTGGATGGCACTAAGACAACAGAGATAACATTGGTGGATTATTATCAGATGTGAATGTGAATAAGTATAGACAAGTGGTTTTTACACTACTTTTAACTTATTTCACAGGATTTCCTCGAGCCTTTGCATTGTTTCATGATTGTGATCCACCAAAAAGGTTTAAAATCACTGGTATAGACTAATATTTCATTTTAGGGACAGACTGAATGATTTTTGTATTTTTAATTAAAAAATCTATTTCAAGAAGAATGAAGCCTAACACAAGAAGATAGTCTAAATCAGGAGTAGTCAACTTTTTTGGGCTCGCGTGCAAAAATCGACTTAATTTAACGACAAAAATTTTCCGAGTGCCGACCAAAATTAAAAACAATGCTTTGCTAATTTCAAAACAAAACTACACAATAATAAACTTTTTAAACATTTACAGACAGATTCACTATTCAGGAAAATATGAGTCTGACAAATAGCTTGGATTACTTTTCTTAATATATATCAGTGATGTACATTTATGATGACTTATGATGTACATAACCGCTGATAGAGATTTTACATTGGTTTTATATTTTGTAACTTTCAAAGAAATACACGAACTACTGGTTTCATCGTCCGGATATTCCTGTTACGAGACTTAGTGTAGCTCATAACTGAGAACAGAGGTTCACAATCATATGTAGATGAAAACATGGAGAGTAATGTAGTTGCAAACTTTTGAAATCAATTTATAACAGTAAGTTAGCAAGTAACTCTAACCAACATGAGCTGTGCAACTTCATAAATCAAGCAAAAACGAAGAAAAAGGGTTACACTGACAAAGTATATTATGTAAGAATACAGCCAAATGAATGCTGCGCCCTTCTCGAAAAGAGCTCATTTAGTTGTTACATCATATTACATTTCTTTGTTAACATATCTCATGAAAGAACAAAAAGAGTTTAAGTAAATAACGAATTGATGACTAACGATAATGATTAAACAAACACCTGGTTTCATCAGATAATTCAGAATCTTAAAACTTTTTATCTGTAGGAGAATGATATCGTTTCCGAGGCCTTGCTCGCGTGCCGAACAAATGATCTATCCCACTTCATTCTTATTTTTACCATTACCTTCACTTTTTGTCATCTCCTGTCTCTCTCTAGCTGGTGATGTACTGCCACCCTTGCTGCTTCCCACTGCGCTTGGTTCGAAAGAAATTTTTTCAGAGAATTGAGAAGGATCTGTAACAAAAATATTTACTTGTTGCGTTATCGTGTTACTGCTAACATGAAATTGAAGAAACAAAGGAAAATGAACAAAGGAAAGTAGAGCAATATAACACATGAGATTGCCATTGCATGGTGGTTCCCACTAACAGTCTTCATTTAGGAGACTTACATTCCTTTAAACCTTATTTTGAGGTATAGTCAAGTTTATTTTTTCCATTCAGTAAAAAGTAGTTAGAAAATAGAATTAAACACAATTTTACTGAGGAAGGGAAGATGCACAGAACAAGTTTTTTTTATACCATAGGCTGCATCACGGTTTAAAATTATAAGGCGTGGTAAACTAATAGAGAATTTGTATTAAATAGAGCAATGCTTAGAGAAAATATACGGGTGGCACTAACTATTTGATAAGAAATACACTTTGATATGGCCAGATTGATAGAGATTAGACAGTTTGATAGCAGGCTGAATTTTTTCAACATTTTTTCAAATCTCTTCTTTGAACAAGGGGTTAAACAAATAGTTTTATGAGATATTACTATGTTCTTGGGATATTTATATATTTAAAATTATTGTCATAAATGAAGGAAAATGCAATCGTTGAAACATAATATCCTTAACATGCATTGCTAACATAGTTTGATTTAACATTCAAACCATCAGGCCATTCCAGAACAATTTAACAACCAGCATTATCTTGTTAATCAATGTTGCAGTAGCATGTGTATAGCTAACAACACTAACTGTGAAATATAAAAAAGGCAAATTCAATCTATAAGCTTCATGAAATTGAAACTTACTCGATTCGGCTCCTTCCACCTTGAGAATTGAATCAGTGGGTTGGGAGTTTGATCGAGATGGTTGGACAGCACGTAAGATTGGCTGAGATTCGGATGTTCTCTTCTCATCGGCATTTCGGACAATTGAAGGTGGAGGCAGGGAATCAGATTCGGCTGTAAAAGATATGTAAAGTATAAGCCCATTTGTTTATGTGTACTTCTTTTTATTACCTATTCATGTGAATACTTACAGAAGGTTTACCAATTTAGATTCTTGAACACCTCTCTTGAGCATGCAAACCCAATACAAGCCTCAAGCCCTGCCCATTTTATGGGTATTTTTAAACTTATTTTTTATGTCAACCATTAAGCCCCAAAGCTTTACTCGTGGCTTTTTAAAAGCGTCTGCTAGGGTTCTATTCAGCAATATATCTTTAAAACACACTCCTCGAAAAAAAATTTTGCAAAAAAATTTCAAAAATTTTTAAAAAAATTGGACTTTGAGATATTCTGTGTACAGTAGAGGGTTAATAAATAATTACTAATTATTTAATTTTTTCTTCAACGTTTTCGTCAAGTTTTTCCTAACATAACAATACCGAAACGATTATTATAGCATAAATGGTTATTACCCTGAAATTCACAATTGTATTTACAGTATTGTCAAGTTCAAGGTCAAATTACCGATATTGATGACGTCACAGCTCTTATTATTACTGCACAGACCACCCCCAATGCAAAAAAAATTAAATTTTTTCGACGGAAATGCGCGTAGAACGGCGTAAACAATCCCATACGCGCATTTACGCGTTAAAATTACCATTAATTTTACGTTTTTTTTACATACAAAAAATCTCCATACCTCTGCCAACTATGGAGCAGTCGAAATCATATTTATCAAAACAACACAGCGCCAGGGATGGTCAGGGATAGTTAGTATGACTGAAAATACATGCTAAAACAATAATAAGTCGTTATAAAGGAGTATTTCCTGTCTGAGCTGAGTCACATTTTCAGACGTCTGACAGGTGATTTTGAAATCCAGGCTATTTATACGATTCGCACTTTGCGTCACGGCTGGAAGGTTTTATCGCTTCTCTCATATCAGGGCATTACGTCGATAAACAGCTAAGAGCGATATTGACCCTATAAGTACCGAAATTAAAAAACTATAGTAAAGTAAACCCATATGGGCAAACCTTCCAAATTAAAATTAATGGTAATTTTAACGCGTAAATGCGCGTATGGGGTTGTTTACGCCGTTCTACGCGCATTTAATTTTTTGCATTGGGGGTGGTCTGTGCAGTAATAATAAGAGCTGTGACGTCATCAATATCGGTAAATTGACCTTGAACTTGACAATACTGTAAATACAATTGTGAATTTCAGAGTAATAACCATTTATGCTATAATAATCGTTTTGGTATTGTTATGTTAGGAAAAACTTGACGAAAACGTTGAAGAAAAAATTAATTAATTAGGAATTAATTATTAACCCTCTACTGTACACAGAATATCTCAAAGTCCAATTTTTTTTTTAGAAATTTTTGAAATTTTTTTGCAAAATTTTTTTTCGAGGAGTGTGTTTTAAAGATATATTGCTGAATAGAACTCTAGCAGACGCTTTTAAAAAGCCACGAGTAAAGCTTTAGGGCTTAATTGTTGACATAAAAAAATAAGTTTTAAAAATACCCATAAAATGGGCAGGGCTTGAGGCTTGTATTGGGTTAAATATATTATGAAGCATCCAGGAGAGAATAGAACATGTTTGTTTTGGGGGAGACGAAAGACTATGGCATGGGTTATTATACGACGCTTATTTGAGCCTTTTGCTTCTTACAAAGCCATGTACAAATGGCACGGATATCTATTGATATGTTTGAAGCTACAAGTAATGAAAATACTGATTAATGAGGGGCTGTGGTGCACCATGTACATGCGTGGGGAGGCTTTTGGGTGTGTACAATGGATCCATATAGGTTTATCATACGTACCGGTTCAGCCCCAATTCTGACAAGATGTCCCAGCAGCCTGCCCTGTCGACTTGAATGTATTTTGCATTATGGCAATTTAGGTATTAACATTAGCTGTACAGCAGTTGAATTACTCAAATAGGTATTCCAATAATTTGAATATTATATTAAATATTTGTTTTATATATGTGGTAAAACTGAATCTATGCAATCGAATGTTGGAGTGGTTGAATTAGCTTGACTAGCCTTTTAATTGGTCAAGTAGTGAAAAAGTAGACCATATATGGGCCAGTTATCATTTGTTTATGGTGCATATGAATTTTACATAAAGCCTTATAAAAATTAACTCTTCTATAGGTCTAATGTGGGCTTCACCGAAAATTGAAAACTAACAAGGTTTTGGTCTGCTCATAAGCGGTTGCTGTTTCGTTTTCAAGAGACAAAATATCAGAATGTTGGAAAATTATATTCATTATATGGAATGAAAAGCTTAACAGGAGAAAGAATTCTAAAACATTTTACAAAAACAAAAACATTGTAAAATTGAATTTGTGACCAATTTTTTGCTTGACGTTTGGGGGGGGGGGACTTAATTTTGATCATATTTTTCGCTCCCTTTACTTTTCGCCCCCGCCGATCTCTGTCTCGTGGTTAATGGCCTACCACGTTTGCTTTTTCACTGCGCTTGGTTCAGAGGAATTTTTTGCCAAGATTTGAGAAGGATCTGTTACAAGTAAGGATGGATAATATCGAATCATGGGTGATCATGTAAAACTGGGATGAAGGAACGTATCGTAACAGAAACAATTACTTGTTAACAATTCCTAAACCGGACATGATCCAATGACCTGACCAGATGAGGAGATAAAACGGTGGCTGCGAATTTCTTGAGATGCAATGCAATGAGGAAATAAAATCCATTTTTTATTCGAGAGATGTGTCATTGCACGATTTTTATAGAAAGTAATTTCTTGAAGAAAATCTCTATCCATGTGAAAAAAATTACCATCGATGCCCGGAAGTGCATATGCGTGCAAAAAATTATTTTCGAAAATGAACATTACAAAGACCAAGCAGAGAACTACAATTAGTGATGCTCATATAGAAAAAGTTCGAATCTTGGCTTCGTCCAGCGCGACACCTGATGTACAAAAGATTCAAGTGTAATGCAACAACAGGTGTCAAATTGTTTAACAGAAGAACGTATTCCAAATCCTTTCATTCTTATTTTTACCATTTTTTTCATTACCTTTACTTTTCGGCACCTTCTGTTTTTCTGGAGCTGGTGATGGACTGCCACCCTTGCTGCTTTCCACCGCACTTGGTTTGGGAGAAATTTTTTCAGAGATTTGAGAAGGATCTGTAACAATAATAATTACATGTTGCGTTATCGTGTCACTGCTAACATGAAATTGAGAGAGATGAACAAAACAAAGGTAGCGGTCTTTCTTTACATACAGTAGCACTTGATGAGAACAATATAATATGACACATGAGATTGTCATTGCATGGTGGTTTCCACTTACAGCCTTCATTTAGGAGTATGTAGTCCGGCATATCTTTAGGCTCTTTTCCTAGTTACAGTCTAGTTTATTTTCCAGCCAGTAAAAAAGTAGTAATGAATATAAGAAGTGAACCTATCGTAAAGTAAGCATATGAAGTTGGGATTCATGGTATGTTCTGGGGTAGGATAAATATAAAACCGTAGGCAAATGGTTAAAGTAAGCATATGAAGTGGGATTCATAGTATGTTCTGGGATAGGATAGATATAAAACCGTAGGCAAATGGTTAAAGTAAGCATATGAAGTGGGATTCATGGTATATACTGAGTTAGGATAGATATAAAACCGTAGGCAAATAGTTAGAGTCAGCATATGAAGTTGGGATTCATGATATGTTCTGGGTTAGGAAGATATAAAACCGTAGGGAAGTGGTTAGAGTAAGCATATGAAGTGGGATTCATGATATGTTCTGGGTTGGGATAGATATAAAACCGTAGGCAAATGGTTAAAGTAATCATATGAAATGGGATTCATGTTATGTTCTGGCTTGTAATATATCCCACAAGACTCAACAAAGTCAATCAGGAAGCCATGGAGTTATTGAAGATTTCCTGTCAATTCTAGAATAATTAGGATGTTACCAAAATACTCAACCACAAACT